TGGGGGGGAATGTGTGTTAAATTTTAAGCGATCCGTGTCGTTGCCGCGTGGGTGTGCTCGTCCGTAGATGCCGTGCGTGGGGGTGTGTGCGTGGACGTGCGTGTGTGCCTGGATGTGTTGTGTTTAGGATTCACTTCTTGCTGTACTCGGTCACTTTTGGAGCCTGCCTTGGTGTGGGGGTGGGGGGTGGGGGGGAGTGTTTCTCCCCCTCCTTGCTGGGGCAGGCTCTTCCTCCACGCACCTTCTTGGGGTCCCAGGCTACGGATTGAGCCCCTCCCCCCAAATTTTAGCCCTTGAAATCACTTTTTTTCCCCTCTTTTATTTTGTTTTTTCTCTCCACGGAGGCACAGGGAATAGCTGCTAGTTGTGAGCACAGGCACTTTTCAGTTTTCCTCCGGGGGGGTGGGAGAAGGAGGGGGGGAACCGCTGCCGATATTCCTGTCCCCCCCCCGTTACCTCCACGCTGGGTTCCCAGCCTGGATCCTGCTGCTTGGAGCAGGATGGGGTCTCTGCTTGGGGGACAAGGAGGTGCTGGGTAGATCAAGGGGGGGTCAAACCCCTGTCCCCTCGCTGGGGACAGAGCTGGGGAAGGGTTTGGTGGGTCTGGAGATGGGGTGGCTGGTGCTGGGGGAGCTTTGCAGGAGGGTGCCCAGCCCATGATGCTGTGGGTCCAAGGGTATGTGTGGTCCCCGTAGGGCTGGAGCTGGGATGCTCCATCCTGGAGCACTGGGCTGGAGCTGGGATACTCCATCCCAGAGTGTTGGGATGCTCCATCCTGGAGCACTGGGCTGGAGCTGGGATGCTCCATCCCAGAGTGTTGGGCTGGAGTTGGGATGCTCCATCCCAGAGCATCAAGCTCCATGGCTGGTGCTGCAGGTGGGGACTGGATCTGCCCTTGACCTTGGTGTAAAGCAGAAGGGACATCTGGACCTGCTGATACTCTGCTGATTTGCACCTTCCCCGGCTGTCCCTTGGTCCTTTCCCCCTTGGCCACCCCCTATTTCACCTCCTGCCCCCCACCCGGACCCCCAGCCAGGTCAAATTAAACCTCAGCACCTCCCAGGAGTGACTCCCACTGCCTCCCTCCTGTCCCCCATCCTTCCCCCAGCCTGGGTTTCGCCAGCAGGAGCCGGGGACAGAGCCTGGTGGCCTTGATGGCCAAGGGGGGGACATGGCACAGCCCAGGCAGCGTGCAGGATGCGGCCACTTCCCCGGCAGGCGAGCACAGGGCTGACAAAACCCTCCTGTACAGGTAAAAGCACAGATCTTGTAGTAACTCGTCCCATGTATCCTCGTAGCCGGTGTATTTACCACCCGTGCCGTGCTGTGCCGGCCGGACTCCTCGGCGGTCGAGAGAAACCCTGTAACAGCGCTAACGGAGTCCGATTAAAAGTCTCTTCTTACCAAATCTCATCTCACCCTGTCTCTTCTCTGCCTCCGTTTCCTTTCTTGGGGTGGGCTTTGGGGTCTCTCTGGGCTTTGGGGTTGCCCAAAGCGATGGGCACTGGGGCTGCTGGCACCCGTGGGCACCAATGTCTCTGTCCTTCCCTGTCCTGTCCTGTCATCACCATCTGTCTGCCCTCCTCCTCTGATTCCTTTCCAGAGAAGGTCCCCTCCATCCTCTGATTCCCTTCCCTTCCCATCCAGCATCAGCCCCTGTAAGAGTCTGTCTCGGGGCCTGGCTGCCTGCAGGTACTTCAGGAGCATCGTGGAGATGGTCTTCCATCGTGGAGATGATCTTCCATCCTGGAACAGTTCAACCAGTAGACACTGGCTTTACACACCAGACTAGTAAGACACACCGTCTGCTCCTCTGCACGATACCCTGCTAATGTTGCTGGTGGTTTATCCTGAGCACTGGGGGTACTGGGAGTCTGGAGACCCTCCCTGGAGAAGGACCAGAGATCTCCAGCAGCTCCAGATGACTCCAGTTGCCGGGTATTCGCCCAGTGACAAGGCCCAGTGGGGAGCAGGGTTGATGCTTCCCTTCCCTCCTGGCTTTTGTAGATCATTTGGCTTCTCTAGGGCTGATCCAGCCCTGGGGAGCGTGAGGAAGGGGGGAAGAAAACAGGATGGATGGGACCATAGGACCAGAGCGTGGGGGTGTGTGCGTGGACGTGCGTGTGTGCCTGGATGTGTTGTGTTTAGGATTCACTTCTTGCTGTACTCGGTCACTTTTGGAGCCTGCCTTGGTGTGGGGGTGGGGGGTGGGGGGGAGTGTTTCTCCCCCTCCTTGCTGGGGCAGGCTCTTCCTCCACGCACCTTCTTGGGGTCCCAGGCTACGGATTGAGCCCCTCCCCCCAAATTTTAGCCCTTGAAATCACTTTTTTTCCCCTCTTTTATTTTGTTTTTTCTCTCCACGGAGGCACAGGGAATAGCTGCTAGTTGTGAGCACAGGCACTTTTCAGTTTTCCTCCAGGGGGGTGGGAGAAGGAGGGGGGGAACCGCTGCCGATATTCCTGTCCCCCCCCCGTTACCTCCACGCTGGGTTCCCAGCCTGGATCCTGCTGCTTGGAGCAGGATGGGGTCTCTGCTTGGGGGACAAGGAGGTGCTGGGTAGATCAAGGGGGGGTCAAACCCCTGTCCCCTCGCTGGGGACAGAGCTGGGGAAGGGTTTGGTGGGTCTGGAGATGGGGTGGCTGGTGCTGGGGGAGCTTTGCAGGAGGGTGCCCAGCCCATGATGCTGTGGGTCCAAGGGTATGTGTGGTCCCCGTAGGGCTGGAGCTGGGATGCTCCATCCTGGAGCACTGGGCTGGAGCTGGGATACTCCATCCCAGAGTGTTGGGATGCTCCATCCTGGAGCACTGGGCTGGAGCTGGGATGCTCCATCCCAGAGTGTTGGGCTGGAGTTGGGATGCTCCATCCCAGAGCATCAAGCTCCATGGCTGGTGCTGCAGGTGGGGACTGGATCTGCCCTTGACCTTGGTGTAAAGCAGAAGGGACATCTGGACCTGCTGATACTCTGCTGATTTGCACCTTCCCCGGCTGTCCCTTGGTCCTTTCCCCCTTGGCCACCCCCTATTTCACCTCCTGCCCCCCACCCGGACCCCCAGCCAGGTCAAATTAAACCTCAGCACCTCCCAGGAGTGACTCCCACTGCCTCCCTCCTGTCCCCCATCCTTCCCCCAGCCTGGGTTTCGCCAGCAGGAGCCGGGGACAGAGCCTGGTGGCCTTGATGGCCAAGGGGGGGACATGGCACAGCCCAGGCAGCGTGCAGGATGTGGCTGCTTCCCCGGCGGGCAAGCACAGAGCTGGCAAAACCCTCCTGTACAGGTAAAAGCACAGATCTTGTAGTAACTCGTCCCATGTATCCTCGTAGCCGGTGTATTTACCACCCGTGCCGTGCTGTGCCGGCCGGACTCCTCGGCGGTCGAGAGAAACCCTGTAACAGCGCTAACGGAGTCCGATTAAAAGTCTCTTCTTACCAAATCTCATCTCACCCTGTCTCTTCTCTGCCTCCGTTTCCTTTCTTGGGGTGGGCTTTGGGGTCTCTCTGGGCTTTGGGGTTGCCCAAAGCGATGGGCACTGGGGCTGCTGGCACCCGTGGGCACCAATGTCTCTGTCCTTCCCTGTCCTGTCCTGTCATCACCATCTGTCTGCCCTCCTCCTCTGATTCCTTTCCAGAGAAGGTCCCCTCCATCCTCTGATTCCCTTCCCTTCCCATCCAGCATCAGCCCCTGTAAGAGTCTGTCTCGGGGCCTGGCTGCCTGCAGGTACTTCAGGAGCATCGTGGAGATGGTCTTCCATCGTGGAGATGATCTTCCATCCTGGAACAGTTCAACCAGTAGACACTGGCTTTACACATTGGACTAGTAAGACACACGGTCTGCTCCTCTGCACGACGCCCTGCTAACGTTGCTGGGGATTTATCCTGAGCACTGGGGGTACTGGGAGTCTGGAGACCCTCCCTGGAGAAGGACCAGAGATCTCCAGCAGCTCCAGATGAATCCAGTTGCCAGGTATTCGCCCAGTGACAGGCCCAGTGGGGAGCAGGGTTGATGCTTTCCTTCCCTCCTGGCTTTTGTAGCTCATTTGGCTTCTCCAGGGCTGATCCAGCCCTGAGGAACGTGAGGAAGGGGAGAAGAAAACAGGATGGATGGGACCATGGGACCAGATGGGATCTACCAGCACTGGGGATGCCATCGGGGTACCCGTCATGGCCATGAAGTGAACTTGTCCCCCTGCAGTGGTGGCAGCTTTTCTGAGCTGCTCTGCATCATCTGGAGATGTTGGTGTAGGACTGGGAGGAGCATCTTCAACGGGGGCTGGAGGAGCAGCACTGCCCACACCAGAGGCAGGAGGTGGCACAGGGGTCATCTTTGTCCAGAGTCCCTCCAAGGCCTGGATCTGGGGGGAAAATGTCCCCCAGGGGTGGTGACAAGGACAATGAGACAGATAGGCCACCTCTGACCCCTGCAGGGAGGGAGGTGCTTCCAGCTCCTCCTCATCCCCAGCGAGGTGGCACAGAGGGGGATGCAGGATGATGGGAGCATCACCCGTTGTGCCCAGCTCAGGGTGATGCCTGGGGTCTGTGGTACCCACATGTGGTGCTCACTGCTGCCATGAGTTGTCAGGCCTCAGCCCACCCCTGTGCTGGGTGGGTCTGGGCTTGGGAAGAGGCTCAGACCTCAAACCCAGGGAGAAGACACGTGTCCCCACTGCTGGACCGTGTCTGAGGACAAGGTGCTGGGAGGCTGCTGTGATCCCAGCTTGTCCCCAGGCCACCCCCCCGCCCCCCCCTCAGCGTGGAGGGACCTCAGTTTGTTTTATCCCCTTTTTTTCTTTCCCAAATTCAGCAAAAACCCCCAAGAAGGAGCAGGTTCTGACACATCTTTGGGATGGCAGGTATTGCATGGGGCTGGGGGGGCTGCTGCCCTGGAAAAGCCCCAGGTCAGGGGGGAGGGAGTGGGGCAGGATTCGGCTCCATCCACTCCACAGGGGGCTGAATGTGGGTCTGGAGAGGGGGCCAGAACCCCCCAGCTCTGGGAAGGACAAGGTGCTGGGAGGCTGCTGTGATCCCAGCTTGTCCCCCCGCCCCCCCCTCAGCGTGGAGGAGCCTCGGTTTGTTTTATCCCCTTTTTTCCTTTCCTAAATCCAGCAAAACCCCCAAGAAGGAGCAGGTTCTGATGCATCTTTGGGATGGCAGGTATTGCATGGGGCTGGGGGGGCTGCTGCCCTGGAAAAGCCCCACGTCAGGGGGGAAGGAGTGGGGCAGGATTCGGCTCCATCCACCCTACAGGGGGCTGAAAGTGGGTCTGGAGAGGGGGCCAAAAACCCCCAGCTCTGGGGCCAGGGGCTGCAAAACACATGAATAAACCAAACTGAAAAGGGTGATTCGGGCCCTTGAGGGGTTAGAAAAAAATACACAGAGAAATGGTCCCCAATGTAAAATTTAAGCCAAATACATGCTTTTTGGAAAAAAATCTTGAATTTCCAATGAGAATGAGGTGGGGACCCTTCAGAACCTGGTGGAAGGCAGAGGCTGGTGCTGTTGGGTTGGGGAGAGGTGGGTTTTGGGTGTCCCACCTCAAACTAGCTCTGGACAGGGGTACAAAAGGATGGGGACCTGCTACTGGCAGCATCTTGATGGGGTTCCCCGAGCACCCCAGAAAGAAAACCAGACACCAATTATCCCAGCTCCCAAAGATGGGGAAACCGAGGCAGAGCACCACCTCCTGACCCGCTCCTGGTCCTTCCGAAGGCAGATGATCACCACCACCACCACCGTCTCCGCTCCAGCCCAGCCTCCTCCAGCTCCTAAATTGCTTTTATGGAGCAAAATTGCATCAGCGATGCTGTGGATGGAGCCAGATTCTCTGCTGGACTCAGACACCCTCCGCCGCCTGGGTTGTTTTGTTGTTGTTTTTTTTTTTTTTTTCTCCTTTTATTTATTTTATTTCTTCCTGGCTCCAGCTGGTGTTGCAGGCCCCACAAGATGGCACTGTGTGACAGCAGCACGGGGACTGGGCCACCCGCCTCCTCGGGAGAAATTTGGGGGTGCAGGATCAACAGGGAGGGGGAGGATGTGAAGGGATGAGCTCACTCCCCTTCCAGGGAGAGGTTGTGGAAGGACGGGGCCTGCAGGCTCTGTCCATCCAACCTCCGCAGCTCAAATATCTGTGCTCAGTTGGTGACGAGCAATTTTTAGCCCCCAAAATTCACCCCGGCAGAGGAGGACAGCAGAGATGGAACCTTGCCCACGGCTTGTGACAGCTTCTTCAGGAAGATCCACCTCCAAGAGAACACCCTGAAGGGTTGCTCGGGGTTCATGCCCTGGGGGTGGTTGCTCCGTGGCATCAGCACCCTGAGGTGCCACCACCCACGGCCTGGAGCCAGAATCGACCCACCAAAAGCATGGATAGGGCAGAGACCTTTTCTGGAGCTTATAAGATGTCGCTGAGATCAAAGTATTTTGGGGATCCTCAGCTGGAAGGACCTGGAGAGGTTGCTTTGTCCATCTCTACCCTGAAGCAGGATGGTTTCTCCCTAAAGTGAGCTGTGGTCCACCTTCCTCCTCTGTCCCTCCATGGATGGAGATGCTGTGTGATCCCAGTGGCTCCTCATCCTCTCCTTGAGGCCGCACAGCCCTCCGAGCATCCCATGGGTGTTGTGTTGGTCTTGGTGGCCCAAGCTGGAGACGTGTCCAACGTGCCAGGCCACAGGCACAGCCCAGGGCACTGCGCTGGGTCAGAGGGAGAGACAGTGTTGGGGGGGCCCAGGGACCCCATATTGTGTCCTCAGGACCTACACCCAAAGGCTGTGGCTTTCCAGGTTGGAGCTGATCCTCCTTGAGATCTTCCAGGTCCTGCTCTTCATTCCATCCTTCACCTGGATGTTATCTGAGATGCTTCAGCCTTGCAGGAGGTCCCTGCAGAAGTGACTCCCTCTTGCTCCAAAAAGGCCTTTATTCATCAAGCTCTTTCTATTTTCTCTCTCTCTCTCTCTTTTTTTTTTTTTTTTTTTTTTTTTTTTTTTTTTCATGGACATTAAAAATCTGAAGGCATATTTAGAGAGCAGACAGCTTTGGGCGGGTGTTGCTGGCTAAAAGATCTCTTCCTTCCCCAGATAACAACCCATTTGTCTGCCTTGGCCACCCCCTCCCACCCCAGGAACGGCCGCACCAAGATCTCCCCGGGATGAAAGTCACAGGGATAAAACACTAAGCATCAGGTCGTGGCGCTCCTTCCTCCCGGCCAAACTCACGTTAACGGAGGACGAGGATGATGATGATGATGATGATGAGGAGCTGAGCCGCGATGCTTGGCCGGTGATGCAAGGCTCGATTTTTCCAGCACGTTTTTCCCTCGGGCTTGATCCTCTCCCGCTGGTGCAGCCCCAGGTGGTTTGGGTGTGGAGCTCCATCGGCCTCCCCCCGCTCCGGATCCGGCCCCGGGAGCCCTCCGGTTGCAGTTACACTTGGAGCAGGGCTTTTTTGGTGGTAAGATTTCCTAAGCTCGGCTCTCGCGCCTCCTGGATTTTTTTTTGGGGTGGAGCGTTTCCCCCAACCCCCCCCAATGCCCCCCCCCTCTCTGGTAAATGGGGATGGGGTGAGGGTGGGTGGTGGGAGCATGTCACCGAGGGGGTGAGGATGGACCCTGGGGTTGGGGGGGGACACTCTGCAAAGCCTGGGGAGGTGCAGAGAGGGATGCTGGAG